TATATATATATATATATATATATATATATATATTAACGCTAGTGTTTAGATTAGCCTGCATGTATCTCGATTAATCTAACAAGTTTTGAAGTTAATAACCATATAAGTTTTTGGTGGTCATGATGTTTATAGGACTCAAATGAATTTTTATCTTTATTTGAGGATATTTTTTTTTATATAGGGATGAAAGGGATAAAATAACTCAAAAGTTAATTTTTTTTACAAACATTTTATATTCCGATCTCTATATTGATTTTAATTAATTTACCTTTTATTGTAAGATTTGAAAACTAAAAAAATTAAAATTTAAAATCATTAAAAATTTAAGAAATATAAACAAAAAAGAAAGAAAATGTTAATTAAATAAAATTATTAAAAATAGATGAGATCACCAAAGAGGTTTCTTTCAGTATAATGTAGAGCTAGTGTATTTTTAACCTCAAGATTAAAAATATGAAGTTCTACATAATGAAACTCTCTCTCCTTAACTTGCATTTTTTTTTGTTAGAAAAAAAAACAACTCATTTTAAAAGACTTTCTCTTTCTCTCTCTCTTTTTTTTTATTGAAATATAATTTTAACTTAATTTATTATTATTAAATAAATAATCCCAAACATTATGAATTTTTTATTAAATTGGCACAATTAGTTAAAAATTTTGACAAAATAATACCATTTGAAAAAATTTGACAAACTAGCATATTTTCATCTTGTCATGCTTTAGAAACGCATTGTTTACTAAATATTGCTATTCTTAAGTGCGACTATATAGTTGTTGCGCTTCAGAATAATGATATTTAAACATGTAACCTAATTGCTAATCTCCTTAATTGATTGGCTGGTTGATTTGGTTGTATGAACTTGTTGATCATTTCATATAAAAACCATAATTTTATGAATTTTTTTCTTTTAAATATATTTTATGAATGTCAATGATATAGTTGAGTTTGCAGTAACAAGTGATTCTGAGTAGTTAAATATGAATCTGTCAAAATTAAATGAGTATTTGTTCGAGATAAATTATGTGAATGGCTTAACAAAAGTATTTATATACTAGTAAGACAAATATAAGCTTAAGAGAAGGTTTGATCATGCCAAATCAGAATGATCCAACTATTGGATTTTTAGATTTTAAAAAATATCTTAGAGCCATGATTTTGATAATTTTGTGATTTTTCTTGTTATTTTCAAATTAATCAATTGATTTAATTAACCATTATGAATTAATCAACTAATTAGTCCTGAATTTAATTGATATTGTGGTTGTGAACTGTAACATTAATTAAAATTTTGTTATAATTTTTGATAAATATTTAATTAATATTACGGTTTAAAAATACAATATTTAAAAATGTGTTTTTCATCCAAACCTTTTATTATAACGCTAATTTGCTATTTTTTTATGATAATTGCTCAATTTATCCAATATCTTATCCCTTGATCATGTATGATGATAATTTAATTGATGTGATTGTAAATTACATGTTAGGTGTCTAATTTATCCACCATCCGACATTCTGTCCCTTGATTACGTAGGATGACATAACTGACAGCCGTTATTGCACGCTGATTATGCCAGGACAGAAATTCTTGTTTGGTTCCTACGCAGCTGGGCAATGCACGTATCTGAAACATAGCAAGTACATCCTGGATCATAGGAGCATGGAAAATGGCAGACACTCAATTCGTAAAAACTATAGACGAGATAAGGTAAACCGATATGTTCACTCCTTGCTGGCTGAGCTATGCTTGCAGCTACAGCAAAGCAGATCCTGTAGACAGCTTGTCCTTGCAGACAAATCCCTACTTTAGGTATTCTAGAATCACACGCACGGCGTTGGGTCACAATTTTCAACTTCCACGCAGGCAGTAATACTGGCCTGCCATCTCTGACGAGTCCTACGGTGGTATGACAGCCCGGCCGTGATATTTCAAAGGGTGGAGGTTTGCTTTTCTCACTCCTGATTCTTCTCACTATATGACAGTTTCCAGAACTTGAAAATCCAAATTCCGAAGTTCTGAAATCTTGTTCATTAGAAGATGTATGGAGTTTTTATTTCATTGGGTGGAAGGCCGATTGGTTTCCACCTACACACTTTCCTAAACATTCAAGGAGATCAGATAAAACATTCCCTTTTAGAGCCCTCAATCACTGTGATAAATAACACATGGAGAAGTAAGGAGGGAGAGAACAAGAAGAGGGAGGAGCTATATCCCAACAAACCAAACATTGCAAATGCAATCCCAGTAAGATAGTAAAGTTACTGTCAACGCTCTTGGTGAGAGCTGATATAGCAAAACAAGACCGGAATAGATATGTTCACTGCGAACAATCCCATGACCCTACTACCACCGCATGCCCTAGTAGATTAGCTCTCCATCAAGCATTAATTACTTGTTTTCACAGCGCCACCAGTTTGGTGCAACATAGCATCGATCTCATCCCCATCCTCCATGTCCAGCTGCAGAAAGAAGAAAAAATGAAAGGCAGTATATGCGTTAACTTAATGTCTATAATCTTATGAATGTGCAACTGTGTGCATGAGCATGTTGTGTGAGAAAGATACCTCATCAGGAGTTTGCTCTCCTCGGAGACGACGCCCATCAAACAAGAAGGCAATTGAGTTGAACTCAACAGATTGGCGATCACAATAGGCATTCATCAGCTTCTTCAATTGTGTGCTTCTTTTGATCCTGAAAAATACTTCATTTCCATCCTAAATTGAAAGTCAAAACATGTCTTTCTTTAATCAGCATGTTCTCAAAACTAGGACTCTTAAAAACATCATCAAGCACGACAAACTTTTAAATCTTGAATCATCAAAACAAGTGTTAGCATGGACCAACCATACAATAAAAATTCAATTAAATATGCAACTTCAAGCTTGTAATTCAACGATTTAAATATCTAACAAAAGATTTTCATCATCTAGGAGAAAAATCACGATTCACCGGCATAGTCTAGGATAGACAAGGTGAGCAACTACTAAAAGCACGAGTTCTTCAAATTCTTCTACTTGTCTTTGAAAGTAGCATTGATTTTCCACTACAAAACTGTCCTAAAGAAGCCAAGATAACAGTGGCACTGCGCAATTTCATCTGGAGTTTCTCCTGAAGATGACCCTTTTAAAATCCAGAAATCAAAATATAAAGAAGAGCTTTCTAACAATTACCAAGCAGATCACCTAGCAAAGAACTGAAACAATTAAAATGCCATTCAAATTGTGAAGAACACTATAATCCCCAAAGCATTACTCCTCAATTGGTGAACCAATATTATTAGCATAATAACAAAGAAAACCCACACCCCCATTATTTTAATTCACATAATAAACACACTCGGAAAACAATAAAACCCATACGAACTTCACATGAGCAAAAAGCCCCAAAACGCCTGATTGTTATACAGTATGGAAAAAAAAAACCCGAATTTAACACTAATTGCAGAGCTAAAACCTAAATAGATCGGGGAAAAAGAACAAAACAAAAACAAAAAATATGTAAAGATATAACAGAAACAAACCCATAACAAAGTAAAAAGACATCATCAACAAGCAAAAACAAACCTGGCCTTTCACTTTGAGATTGATGTGAGCAGACTGATCGTTGGGCTTTTTATCTTCTTCTTGTGGCTGACCTGTCGCCCCAGACATTTTTCTCTTCTCTCTCTCTCTCTCTCTCTCTTCGAACAAGGGAAAACAAGAAATCAGGATTTTTATTTCTTTGTTTTACTTTTTAAATTATTATTGTTATTATATATTCCGTCACCGACATGGGTTTTTTCCCTGAAAGTTAGTCAATCATTCTTTAGAGAGATGCGGGTTTAATAATTATTTTTTAAAATAGTTTTTTTTTTTAAAAATAATATATTTTTTATTTTTAAAAAATTATTTTTAATATTTTTTTTAAAATAATATATTTTTTATTTTTAAAAAATTATTTTTAATATTAATTTAAAAAAAATAAAAGATTGTGCGGCACCGAGTTGTCACCCTTCAGTTCAGAATTTACAAAGAATCAAGAAGGTTTCGGCTCGAATACGATTACAGGCAGACACATTGGATAATAGACAGAGCTGTAAGGCCCGTTGGTGGTGGGTAGAAATTAGGTTCTTGATGGACATAGTTTCTAAGGTATATTCAACATATTTTATAAATTATATATTCGATTCTCTTTCACAAGAGTGAGTTGAATATAGCTGGTTATGCTAAATTGTTTATAAATATTATAAATATTTACTAGTTGAATTTATATTATTAATTTTGATAAATTTATATTTAGAGGTAGGCTTATAAAATAAATTACAAGTATTTCTAATTTTTATTCATTGCACTATCTTTAAATTCTTTTCTGGAAAAAAAAGTTTTTTATGTTAAAAAAATAATAAAAAGCTTATTAACAAAAAAAATTATAGAGCTAAAATATTTTAAATATAATAAAAATAAATAATTAATCCACAAACTATTTATAAAAAGAGGATATAGCATAACAGCTAGATTAAATTGATTGAATTTTAAAAATTAAGATCTGCCTCCTAATTTTTTTAATATTTTATTATCTATAATATTTATATTATTTAATTCTAATAAGTAGGGTTAAATAATATAAATATTACATGAGGAATAAATTTTTAAAACATCTCGAAGCAAGTACTTTAACTGTTGATGACCGAAGAGCATCTCATTCCTGTCTTTCTAGGAAACAAGTCGCTTTGTCCCCATTGATATGGAATTTTTAATGATGATTTCAGTTTTATTAAAACTTTAATATACAATCTAGAATAGTTTCTTAACTTTTAAAAGCGATTTTTATTTTTAGTTTGGAATGTTGTGCTTATTTAGTTTAATACTAGTCTTTCATACCACGTTACCTTGAAAGCCGAATTAAAAAAAAAAACTAATTGTAGAAAAATAAATATGTAATTATTGTCAACATGTTTTTTAAATAAGAAAAACATTCAACTATAAATTAAAAAGTAAACATTTATATTTAATAAAAAAAATTGAGTATTATATATGTTAATAAATATAAAAAAATTATCAATATAAACCCAAGATTAAATTTAAAGTTGGAAAATAAAAGTATATTAAAATATCTAATCTCACAATACCTATAATACCTAGAACTCTTTATTTTATTTTTGTAACTTTATTATATGATAATTGAACGATTTCTAATGAAATGACATCTCAAATATAATAGTATCTATCTAATTGTAACTAATTCTGATTAAACTTTAAGGAAGAAAATGAAGAATAATAAAAATAAAAAACTAGTTGCTAATATAAAAAACATTATTACAATTATTGTACCTCAACATAACATCATGAAAACCATTTCCAACCGAGTTGAAAGGTTTTTGGTTGGATAAAGAATCATCACTTAGGATTATAATTATTAAAAACCCCAACTGATTTTTAAAAAATCTAGGCAAGTGACTAATTATGTAAATGAAAGGTATTAACGTCCTAATTATACTTTACTTAAGGTAACTTGTATTTTTTTTTTTTTATGGTTGGTGTGGTCTGGTGGTATTTCTAAATTCTATTAGCCTACTATGGTGGATTTGCTACAATTAACAAAATCCTAGTTTGCTAGATCAAGAATTTGATTTAAAAGATCCCGACATAAAAAGATATTAGAAGAAAGCAAGCTCATTCACAACTTCTATGCTATGAAGGAGTCGAAGTTAGAAATCCAAAGAGATTTGTTGATTATTGAAATTTCACCTTTTTCTTTGGTATCTCGAAAGTCCGTGACTCTTGTATCATGAGACACAGGTTAAAATATATTTAATTATTGTTTAGGTTTCTTTCAGGATAAACTTAAAATTTTTGGCTACTATGTCATTTCAAATAAAATTTATCGCAATTTTATTTTTTTATCTTAGAAGTGAATAAGATGTATTACTCCCAATAATATTTTGAATATCAACCGCATAAAAGTTTTTCTCTATTCTTATATTAAAAATGAATAATAATAAATTATTATCCCTAATAATATTTTGGATATTAACTTATTTGTAGGTTTTTTATTCTTATATTAGAAGTAAATAATATATTGCTTTGCCAAAAATAAGTTTTTAATATTTTTGAAATATAGGCCAAAATCCTTTGAAATTTTGCAAACTAGCTATAAAATCCATTGTGTGTGTGTATTCTTAATTTTAATACATGCTTCAATATTTTTTTAGGATTTGTTTTTCATATACAAGGAAACCTTTTATTTATTTTTTACTTTTTAAAGTTTTGTTTGATAAAAAAAAACCATTTTCTTTTAGATAAAACAACTAAAATAGGTCTAAGGGCATGTTTGCCAAACACACTGATTAGTACTTAAAAGTGTATTTCATTATACTTTACTTAAGGTAACTTGTATCATTTTTTTTTTTTTTATGGTTGGTGTGGTCTGGTGGTATTTCTAAATTCTATTAGCCTACTATGGTGGATTTGCTACAATTAACAAAATCCTAGTTTGCTAGATCAAGAATTTGATCTAAAAGATCCCGACATAAAAAGATATTAGAAGAAAGCAAACTCATTCACAACTTCTATGCTATGAAGGAGCCGAAGTTAGAAATCCAAAGAGATTTGTTGATTATTGAAATTTCACCTTTTTCTTTGGTATCTCGAAAGTCCGTGACTCTTGTATCATGAGACACAGGTTAAAATATATTTAATTATTGTTTAGGTTTCTTTCAGGATAAACTTAAAATTTTTGGCTACTATGTCATTTCAAATAAAATTTATCGCAATTTTTTTTTTATCTTAGAAGTGAATAAGATGTATTACTCCCAATAATATTTTGAATATCAACCGCATAAAAGTTTTTCTCTATTCTTATATTAAAAATGAATAATAATAAATTATTATCCCTAATAATATTTTGGATATTAACTTATTTGTAGGTTTTTTATTCTTATATTAGAAGTAAATAATATATTGCTTTGCCAAAAATAAGTTTTTAATATTTTTGAAATATAGGCCAAAATCCTTTGAAATTTTGCAAACTAGCTATAAAATCCATTGTGTGTGTGTATTCTTAATTTTAATACATGCTTCAATATTTTTTTAGGATTTGTTTTTCATATACAAGGAAACCTTTTATTTATTTTTTATTTTTTAAAGTTTTGTTTGATAAAAAAAACCATTTTCTTTTAGATAAAACAACTAAAATAGGTCTAAGGGCATGTTTGCCAAACACACTGATTAGTACTTAAAAGTGTATTTTTATTAAGGTTTTATATCATCATTTTGCACTTGAAATATCATTAACTTCTTAACTAGAGCATGTTTTATAATAATATGTCTAATAATATAAGATACCTTTAATTTATGGTAAATGTTCATTTTAAATGTAGACCTATCACATAAATCAAAGGATTAATTGATGAATTTAACTACTAAAATTGAGAAGACAAAGAGTAGGTTAGAAAAGAGATACTGGTTCAATCCACACTATAACACAATTCGATTATTGAATCATAACTGGAGCTGTAGAACTTGGATTTATGTATGGTTTATATATACAAAAACTAAGATATAGGTCTAAAACTTTCATGAGAGTTTAAGATTGAAAATGACCGTTTTCAAGTTCAAATTATAGCAACAA